TTTTTTTTTTTTTTTTTTTTTAATTTTTGAGTTTCGAAGTAAATTAAATGTAAGCACTTTAACTTCTTGTAGAGGCAAAACCATAGATATGAGAATTTGAAATGTATGGAACTTACAACATAGCCATCAGGGCTCCAATTGATTATATCCCACTTAATTGTGATGTTTCCATTAGGATCAAGTGCATCATAAGCATCTGAAGGGAAAAGGGTTTATTAAACATGTGAAAATGTAAACTCTTGTAAAAATAAACATGTAAAAAAATCTAATTCTGACATAAGAAAAATATATGTATCTTTCTTTTCTAGATTATAGGAATGGGAATGTGGGATCATCAATGGCAACCAACAATCTAAAAATTAGGACGAGAAAAAATTATATATTAAATAGTAAATACCCATTCCAAGAAAATAATGACAGAGAGCGTTAATTTTGAGATTTGGAGACCAGAACAGGTACATTAAACCCATTTAAACATCCGAACTTTACTACGAAATAATCGAACCCTTCTAATCGGTCAAAGCAAAATGCATCAAGCATAATCTGAATTTCAGAAAAATTCACAACTGGGACAGAACACAGAAAAACAAACAAAAAAGAAGAGAACAAATAAAACAAAATACCTGTTGAAGTAAAGCTGAGGCAAGAACAAAGGAAAACTAGCAAAATGGTTGAGGCTGTGATTCTCGACAAAGATCTGAAGCAGGTCTCCATGTCGCTCTGTAGCAGAATTTCTTGATCAGTGTGTGTTTGTGTGTGTGTGCGAGAGAGAGCGAGAGAGAGACCAGTGCAAAGCTTGTCGAGATTGAGCACTAATGGCGTCTTGAATTGAAAAAAATAAAAAGTCATTTAACGCGTAACCACTTTCTTAAAAAGGTTCTTGAAAAATGATATCTTGACTTGGCCAATCTTTCTTGCGGCACCAATTATTCCAAAAAAAAAAAAAATGATTACATCTGAAATGGGTTGTAACCTAGCTAGTGGCTAGCTTTTAGAAAAGAAGAAACAATAAAAAGGGGAATAACATCGAATCAATATTTTGGGTATTTATGGTGAAGACGACAACTGAGACATGCAAAGGAAGAACTGGGGAAAGGAGAGGGAAAATGAAGAAAAAATGAGGGGTCATCCTCAAATTTCAATAGCATTTGTTCAGTTTGACCGAGTTGTTTGAGGTTCTTTGGACTTGATGGCAATTGGCAACTGCTGAAGTTATTAAAAATGAATTAATATATAAGGAGGAATATTTTCAAAATATAATTACCAAATTAATGATTATGTTTGGTAAAACTGGCCCGATAGTATTTAGCTTATAATTTATATGTAATTTTTGAATTATAACTTATGATTTGTAGCTGAAAAGTTAGCTCATATGATAAGAGTGTTTGGTAAAATTAACTGATGAACTAGCGGAAATAAAAAAATCTAACCAACTTATTTAAAAAGCTATCTAAAGTAGTTTATGAGATAAACTCGAACATTTTAAAAAAGTTCATCCTATCAAATTAAGTTTATTTAAATATAGGGAGCTTATAAGCTAACCAAATAAGTTATAAACTAGTTTATTTGGCTTACTTTAATATTAGATCGTGTGCACATGCACAAATGCAAATAAAATATATATATGTATTTATGTAATATTCAAAATCATAAGTTAGATAATAGCTATATATAAATAATATCCGTAGTAAAAATGAACTATATAAATATAAATTATTTAACTTACATATTAATATTTGTTGATGCAATTTTTGCTGATTATGGTCAATTAATTGGATAAAACAATATTGTAAGTATTATATCAATTGTGTACGAAGTTTTAAAGGGTTTGATTATATCATAAAAAATAATTAACTAATTTTAATAAAAAAATTGTTAATGAGTTAAAAAAATAATAATTTTAAATAAAGGGTTTGAAAAGAGATTTAGAATAGATAACATTTAATGTTACTTTACTATTATGTAACAATTATACAATAACATAAATAAAAAAATATAATTGATTGATTAATGCAAAAATAACGAAAAAGGTAGGAAAACAAAAATAGTTGTATTAAATTATTTTCTAGAAATAATATATATATATATATATANTTAATAAATGAATAAAATAAAATAAAAAATTGAGGAAATATTAATTTATCTAGACTTTGAGGTTTTAAAGCCGTAATACATCTACAAAATCAACAGCAAATGCCATATCCAAACTTGAGATTTCTAAAAATCAAATACAGAAGTAACTAATCACTAGCTGAGACACACTGTCATCTTTCAGTCCTGCAACGTCACAATCCAGGTTAAGCGGCGGAGCAAATCTCGAAAATGGCAGATGCGCGCCGCACGAGAAGCCGTATGCATGGTGAAATTGGCCGCGCAGCGTTGAGTCCTCGGCTCCGATCAAGAGATTTGTTGCTGTTTGGTCGTCGGAGGAAATTACAGGTACGTTTTATTGATTTAGTTTTTGTCTACTCGTTGTCTCGCTGTGGGTGTGTCATTTGATCGAACACGTTGACTTCAATTGAGAGGAAATCAGATCACAGATTTACTGTCTAACAAACAAAAGGGTATGCATTTTGGTTTGGTTTGTGTTTGTTTTTTTACTGCTTATTAGCTGCAGGGTTTTGCCGAGGTTTTTAGTTGTTCAGCAAGTTTTTTTACTGCTTATTTACTGTTTGTGTGATTTCTCACTTTCACCAACTAAATGAGGGTGTATTCAATTTCTGGGGACCCATATATTTTCATGTTTGTCTCCCTCCGACGTTTGTTGTAAATCCAATACAAGTTGTGCCGAAGCTTCGAAGTAAAAACCAATCTTTTTACACGAAATATGAAGACAAAGTCAAACGCCAGTTATTCAACTTAACTGTGGATGGAGCCAGACATTGATCATTCATAATTTCATCTCTGAACTTCAGAAATCATTCATCTGTTTTTACTACCAAAAATCAATAGACCCATGAGCTCATATCGAGTTTCAATTGCTCTGCTGTTCTTATGTCTTCTGAATGCATCCACAACTGATAGTTCTGATCCAACTCACTCCACAGCTGAATTTTCTGTTAACTGTGGCTCACTTGGAACTTTTGCAGCACGTAATGGCCGGGAATGGATTGGGGACGTAATGAAGCCAAAGCCCACTTCATTGCTACAAATACAGGGCTCTTCAACAACCTCAACAGTGAACACCAAGTTGATTTCGGCTGATCCAATCCCACACAAGACGGCGAGAATATCTCACAATCGATTCTCTTATATATTTCACGTGAAGCCAGGTCAGAAAATAATCCGCCTTCATTTTAACCCGTCTCCATACAAAGGTTTTAAAGGTTTCAAGGACTTGTTCACCGTTGAAGCCGGCCCTTTCACCTTGCTTGATAATTTCAGTGCTGCACTTACTGCCGATGCTCTTGGCGTGAGTTCATTTTCCAAAGAATTCTGTTTGAACATTCAAGAAAACGAACAACTTCATATTACTTTTTCTCCAGAAAATATTCAGTCACTAGATACATATGCTTTCATTAATGGTATCGAGATTATTGCCGTGCCCGCCAGTGTTTCTTACTTTGGCGGTGGAGGTTTTGTAATCCAGGAAGTTGGTCAGAATTCCTTGGTCGGAGTTGATCAACACACTGCACTTGAAATAGTCCACCGGCAAAAGATAAAGCACAGTCCTGTTCAGACTAGTGGAGATTTCGATGAAACATTCCCGATATGGAGATTTCCTGAAGCGGACAAGGCAAAAGCTACATGGAGAATACCCGTTGACGTGGGTTTCAAGTACATGATCAGGCTTCATTTGTCGGAGATGGGACTAAGGTTTATCATGGCTGGTGATGTGATTTTTGAAGTCCTTATTAATGAAATGATTGCTCTAACTAATACTGACATGGTGGAAGAAAGGGATGAAAATTACACGTCCTCGTATTATAGGGACTGTTTGGTCATGGTGCGAGGGAACAAGAATGAAGGTAGACGTGATCTCTCGATTTCATTGGATTCACACGATGATCTCATTGATGGGTATGGACTCCTTGTTGGATTTGAGATCTTTAAGTTGAGCAATCCCGACTATAGCCTTGCCAGTCCAAATCCCTTGCCCCCAGCTAATTGTTCATCTTCCAAGACTATCCGAAATTTGTTCTTGGCTCTTTGTCACCGGAATTTAATTTCAACTGTTGCAATTTCTATGATTTCTCTGGCATGCATAATTGTTCATAAGTCCCGGGAATATTCGGAGACTAGCTGTACTAAGGAGGAAAACAAGCCGTCAGACAGGGCTGAACGACTCTGTCGCCGTTTTTCACTAACTGAGCTCCAACTAGCCACTAGAAATTTCAGTGATGCTCTTCTAATCGGAAGAGGTGGATTTGGTAAAGTCTACAAGGGCCTCATTGACAGAGGTCAAACAACTGTTGCTGTGAAGAGATTAAAATCAAACTCCATGCAGGGTGCCAGGGAGTTTCTGATGGAGATCGAGACGCTATCCGAGCTTCGACACGTGAATCTGGTTTCTCTGATTGGTTATTGCAATGAGTACGGGGAGATGATTCTCGTGTACGATTACATGGCTGGAGGAACATTGGCAGACCATCTCGACAAACTTAAGAGTGTGAGCAATGACTGTATTTCCCTAAATTGGAAACAATGTCTTAATATTTGCATTGGTGCTGGTCGTGGACTGGACTATCTCCATACTGGCCATGGAGTCATACACCGTGATGTAAAAAGTTCAAACATCTTGCTCGACGAAAAATTCGCGGCTAAGGTTTCTGATTTCGGTTTGGCCAAACACGAAGACAAAAGCAAGTTACAAAGCCATGTCAGCACACGAGTTGAGGGCACGAATGGGTACTTGGACCCGCATTACCTCCACACGCATAAACTAACGAGGAAAACTGATACGTATGCTTTTGGCGTGGTGCTGTTTGAAGTATTGTGCGGAAGACCTGCCGTTGACTTAAGCCTTGTGGAGGACGAGCACATTTTGACCATATGGGCTCGTGATAAAATAAGTAAGGGAGAGATTGGTCAGATACTGGCGTCGAGTTTGAGAGAGGAGATTTCACCTGCTAGTCTCGAAACATTTGTTGGGATTGCGGAAAGATGCTTGCGTGATGATCCAAAGAGCCGGCCAACGATGTCTCAAGTTGTGCTGCAACTTGAGTTTGCCCTCGAGCAACAGGACGATAAACAAACTCTGGTGTTAAATGAGACAAAAAGTGCTTCTAATGACAACAGTCCTGGTAAAGATGGTATTGGCGATTCGGGTAACAATGAGAGGCCTGCAATGGCTTCCATAAACATGCAGTATTTGACTCCTCTTATGGAAGAGCAAACGAGCAGCCAAGTGGCTAATGCTGGGAGTCGATCTGTAAGAAAATATGAGAGAAAAGACATGACACGTAAGCCGCGACTTTGGCCGTGGGATGCATTTTGGAATAGGGGTAAACCATCCAAGAAAAATGATTCATTATCAGGTATAGGAGAATAAAAGGACAGTGTCATTAGCTATTACTTAACTTGTTTGCAAGCTTATAGTGATCTATATATAAATAACCATGATACTAATGATTTCTGTTTGGAGTTCATGCTTCTAATTCGGATGATTTTACTATTTTTTTCTTAGTAAATTCTAGTGGGTCCCTTGAAATATGAGAAGAAAGAACAAATTTACAACTCCATCTAACAGAAAAAAAGATATAAAAATTAATTGGAAGTTGGATAATTGTGTGAAATTGTTGATATGAACTTTTTCATGGAAAAAATAAAATGATATACTTCTTATGTATAAATTATCTGTTTGTTATTTCTTCTACCTTTATACACACAACACACACACACACATACGCATGTAAAATCCTCGTACGCAAAAACATTTATCACCTTAATATATGTACACTTTTAAAAGGAGAAGTTTTGGCCAACATAAAAATAAAACCTCACTCATATGGGATGGTATTCTACCCATAGATTTCCTTCTTTTATGGTATGATTTTCTGAAATATATGTGACTTATGAAATTTCAGAAATTTGGGAGGAATCAAATATAAGATGCACCAACTATGATTGGGATACCATTGCCGCCGCCACCCATCAATTCTCCGCTTACCATAGTATTGGACAAGATGGATTTGGTTCTGATTATAAGGTGATTTTTAGGTTGACTCCTACCAGATATGAGGTCAAATTGGTAACTGAAACTTTTCTTCTTCTTTGTCCTGATGCAATTATTTGTATAGGGTGTTTTACCAACAGGTCAGGAAATTGCTGTTAAAAGGCTTTCACCATCTTTGGGTAGATGCCCCATCGAATTTAAAAATGAGATCCATTTACTTCCGAATCTTCAGCATCGCAACATCATCAAGCTACTCGGCTATTCCATGCATATGGAAGAGAAGTTGCTTGTGTACGAGTTCGCATCAAATACAAGTCTGGATGCTTTCATAGGAGGTTTGTGGACAACAAATTATTTACTTTACCATCACTACCCAAAAAAAAAAAGATGATGATATGTTTCATGTACTCATAACTTCATAAAGTCATTTCTCTATTTCATAATATGGATCAACAGTTCAATGAATTAACTTTTCTATAACTCATTGATGAAGACCGAGAGCACGGACACCTCTTTTGGGAAGAACGCTTCAAAATCATTGTAGGGATTGCCCGAGGGCTTGTTTATCTTCACCAAGATTCAGGACTCAGGGTCATTCACAGAGATCTCAAGTTACGTAATATATTACTGGATGCCGAGATGAATCCTAAAATTTGTGGCTTTGCCCTTGCAAGGACTTTGGCTGAAAATCATTCTGAACTGGAAACACAAATTGCTGGGACCATGTAAATCACTCCCTCAGTTAACTTGCCTCTTTTTTTGTTTGTCTCTTTTGGTCTGAAATAGATTTTGTATTTCTATTTGTGCGTATCCAGTGGGTATATTCCACCGGAATGTGTGCAGCACGGAAAATTTTCAGTTAAATCCGATGTGTATAGCGTTGGAGTCCTAATCCTGGAGATCGTGAGTGGCAGGGGAAGAATAAATGCATCTTATTCAGATCCTATGCCCCTCTATGTCTATGTAAGTGGTCTTTGATATGTTTATGTCCTGGGGATATAATAAATTAGGCATAAACTACATATAGTCATCTGTACTCTTAAATAGTCATTTAACTGATACTTTGTAAAATATAAGGAGTAGCAACTTAATTTATGTTCCTTTTCTTTTCCACTTATGCAACAGTTCTACATTTTGGACATTTTTCCAGGCAAGGAAGCTTTGGGATGAAGGGAAAGCATGTGATCTGGTGGATGAATCGCTTGAAGGGGCATTTCTAGAGGAAGAAGCTATGAGATGCATTCAAGTCGGTCTATTGTGCACCCAAACAGAACCCAATCTTCGACCACAAATGGCCAATGTGCTTAAAATGTTGGAAGGTAACGAGTTACTATTGGATCCACGAGACCCACAACCACAAGCTCTTCATGGTCCGTTAAAAGGTAAATCACACTTTTTCACATGATTTAGGGAGTGTATAAAACCCTGCTGTCATTTACTAAAGAATGTAACAAAGGCTTTTTTTCCCCTTCTAAAACTGCAGACAATATTGAAGGGATTTGTGATGCAATCCCAAACTTGACCAAATTTGATTGGAATACAGTTGCCACGGCCACCAACCATTTTTTTGTTTCAAATAAAGTTGGAGAGGCCACCACGTTTGGGCCACTTTATAAGGTAACTTCCTCCGTATGGCTTTCTAAAGTTTGTCCAATATTTTACACTGATCAAGTCTGGCTATATGTATAGGCCGTGTTACCATCCGGGCAGCTAGTTACAATTAAAAGGCTCACACCACCTTTCAAACAAGACCTCGTGGAATTAGAAAATGAGATTCTTTTGCTTCCAAGGATTCAGCATAGAAACGTCATCAAACTACTCGGCTATTGTATCCTAGGAGAAGAAAAATTGCTCGTTTACGATGGTGTTGCCGAAAGCATATCGACTATTATATTTGGTTTGTTCTCATCTCCACCCTCTATAAGTATATGACAACTTGGGCACTGATTACTGTTGTGAAATTCGAATGACTTCAAAAAATAATATATTTTGTGCATAGGTGATGAACATGGTCGCCAAAGCCTGCCATGGCCAGTACGGTTTAAAATCATAATCAGGATTGCTCGAGCAGTAGCTGATTTACATGGCGATTTTTCTTTCAGTGTCATTTCCCGGAATCTCAATTCGAAAAATATTTTGCTGGACAGTTGCATGAATCCTATATTATCCAACTTCTATAGGTTCGCTCGATCTGAGACTGGAAGCTCTAGACCGCCGATTGGAACCTTGTATGAATTTGTTGGGATCATTCTCTTTCTCTCTCTCTCTCTCTCTCCCAACTAAATTGTGTTAGTTTCTGTTTGTAAGCAGCGGCTATAACGCCCCAGAATATGATATGCCTTGGGATTTTTCTGTTGAATCCATGATGTGCAACTTTGGGATCATAGTTTTGGAGATCGTCAGTGGCAGGCGGATTTGTACTCAGGATTTTCGCAGCACAAACTCCCTTCACTATGTAAGTGTTAATTGACTGACCATACTGAGTTATTTCAAATTTGGCAGTAATTGGCAAGCGAAAAGTAGAGATGCCACTGAGTTTGGTTCTTTCCTGAACCCAAAATTTCACGTGTCCTTTGATAGTGGAAATGAGTTCAAGTCCTGATATTATATTTTGCATACCTAAAACCCATTTAATTTTTCTTCTTCTACTTCATCAATGCTTGCATTGAAGGATATTCTCACCCCTTCCTTAATTTGTATTATATATGTGTATATATAAATCAAGGCCTGCTACTTAGCCATTGCTAATTTTGTACAAAACAATTGGTAATATGGGGAGCATTCATGGTCCAATGGTAGAAGACCATATTATAGTGAACTTTTCCTGAAAAAAATACATGTTTTCACAAATCGAGCTTCATAACCGGCTATTTTCCAGGCATGGAGTCTCCGGAACTCAGGGAAAGCTTTGGACCTGGTGGACGAACACATTATCAGGAATGGGGAATTTTCCGAAGACGAGGCTGTGAGATGCATCCATGTGGGGCTTTTGTGCACGCAAAACGAGCCTCGTCACAGGCCAAAAGTTTATTCGTTGCTCGATATGTTGGCGGGAAAGGAAGATTTATCGTATGAAATACTGGTAGCAGCCGCTCATAGGAATGAGAGGTATTATAGTTGAATCAGAATTGATGCATTAATGCGTATAGAGTGTTTTATGCAGTGGCAATATGTGAATATGTGAGTTTGTTAAGCACAATGATCTACTTATTGATTATTAGCTTATATAGTTATATCCAGAAGTTTCTTTTTGGCTAATTCACATTTTTTCTTCTTTTTCTATTTTTTTTTTCTTGTAGAATAAACTTTTTATACCTTTGTAGTCTTATAATTTTGAGAAAAAAAAAAATTATTTATGTTCGTCAGGTTTTCAATTTCGTATATCAAACACACACTGTAAAAAGTTATTCATACAAATTTGTTAGAGGATGTTTGGATACAAATATTTTCAAATAAATTCAAACATTTTTAATTAAATCACTTTTTTTTAACTCAATTTTAATTCAATTTCACTATCATTAATATTATCAATATAATTAAATAATAATATTAATCATTCTTACCCACCACATCAACTTTAATTCATTATTCATCAACTCATATAATTTTAACTAACCATCACTTCAAATCAAAATCTCTCCTACTTTTACATCAAATCAACTTTAATTATTTGTGGCCCGTGCAATGCACGGGATGATATGTAAACGGGTCGGACAAATTAAAAATTCATAAATTATTGAATATTTCCTTTTAGACAACGTTTTTTGTTTGATTTGGTGGCGAGTCATCGTCACCACAGACTAATAATTTAAACAATTTAGCAAATAGATTCGATAATAATAAATAAAAGGTGACAAAAAAAATATTTACCTCTCCGGAAATTTATTTCCAACACATTTTGTTACTTGGCTTTGAATTTTCTTTCAAATATACGAACAACCCTTAATTTTAAGTATGACTTATTTCTTCGGGAAACCGACTTAAAAAAACACTACACGAGCGGCATATTGATAGGGTGGAAAAAATGAAATTAGTCGGATTCTATAGATTAGGGAATGAGAAAAAAGCTAAAATATGTGGTAAATGATTTGTGTAATTGACTACTTACATAGATGTCATAAACTATTTGTGTTAAATATTGTGATTTATGGTTCTAAGTAAAAAAAATCATTCAAGATTTGTGATGTTTCCATTCAATCCGACTTATTTTGCGATACGATAATAATGAATCTTTTAAATCAGATATATTTTACTATCTGCTTAGATTTTTATTAACATAAGATGAGAAATATTCGAGTCCTTTAAGAATTTTTTTAACCGAATTTCCTTAAAATTATGTAACAAAATTGCGAAAGAATTTTTCATAGATATAATTAAATCCGATTATGCAATCAGAATATAAAATAATTCTTAAAAATGATATATTTGTTTGAATGTTCCCTAAAAATTTGGTAACAACGTATTAGCTTTCTTATTTTCCAGTGGCATGTAAAATTTAAATTCTTTGACGTGTGGTTTATTTATTTAGATGTATTTTTATGAAACAATATAGGTAAAATTAAATTTAATTGATGTAGATGTATATTTATCATTCGTTTATATGATTATTTATTTAAATAAGTTCGTTATTTATTGGTATGTAATTTTGAATAATGAATTTATAGTTGGTGAAATACTATGTAAATCAAAATTTCGGGTTATATTTGTGTTAAATTGGTCAAATTAAACATGTCTCTATCCTACATATAAAGAAACAATATACCTGATTGTTGTAAATTTATATGCATCATTCGTTTTACTGATTTTATATATTATAAAGATTTGTTAAATTTTGTATTGTTTTGTACGTAAATATTAATCGTAATATTTTATGTTTTGTACCAAATATTGCACATGTTTTTATTAGATTGAATCAATTCGGTGAAATAATATATTGCCAAAGATCATCAAACTCTTGTATGTGTTTAATATTAAATTAAAGAGTCTCTATCCTACATATTAGGAAATAATATGGATTTATATGCATCTTTCATTTGATTGATTTAATAATTAGTTAAATTCAACTACAAAACAAACATATTTTTTAAACGGAAACAATTATTTGATTACACATTAATTACGTAATTGTGAGTAATTAATAATTACAAATTTGTTATAAGCATATTTCATTGCATAATGAATAATAAAATTGAAAATAGTTAATAAACCATACGATTTTGCATGCAAATTAGGAACTGATTTTTTAGTACAAACCAAACTGTTTTGAAAAAAATTGGCAAAACTCGTGAAACAAATTTTATATTGCATAAAATAAGGTAACTGATTTTGCACTGAAATAAAACTGTACGATTTTTGCAAAAAACAAATAAATAAATAAATATCAAACATGGGATAAATCTTAAAATAAAAATGCGTGAACAGATTTTATCATTCCGTAAACTATGGAATGTTTCGGCTGGCAATTAGGGATAATATGTAAATTAAAAATTTTCAAACAATATTATCATGGTTGAAATTGCGTGAACAAATTTTTGCTTGTGTAAAAAATAGAATGTTTCGACTGAACAAATCATAAGTGCGTAAATTAAATATGGAATTTGCATACAAACTAATAAAAAAAAAAACGACAAAATCTAGCCAAATTGTTAAAACCGAACAAAATTTCAGATTTTTAAGCAATTGCCATAAATAATAATTCAAAGTTTTGACTCAATTGTTTTAGCTTTCCAAAAAAGAATTTAACATCAACCTTTTTAGATATATATATAGATTATTCTATTTTAAATATTATTTTAATATATTCACTAATAAGTAATAACTAACCATACCACCTTTTTCAAAATTAATCAAACCAAATCAAAAAATTCAAATAAATTCAAAAACTAACGAGTTAGAGGTAGGTGAACTCGTCATCCTTGTCAAAACTAACGAGTCGGACGTGACTGAACTCGTCAGTATTTTTTTAAGGGTAAAATCAACATACAATATATATTTGTTAATTATATATTGTCTGATGACACTATATATAACCAGACAATCCTCAAGCTGCTAATGCATAAATTTTGCTCGTACCAGTTTGAAAAAAGGCAAATGAGAACAAAATATACTGACCTATATATTGTTAACAGATATTATATACAACTTCGGACAGTAAGTCCAATTTCAATGAAGCTGCAAGGAAATTTCCTCCTGCATGTGCAAGGGCCACATATTTTGTCTTCTCACATCTATTAATCCAAAATCAAGTCTAGTTTTTGTTGTAAGGACATATAATAAGCTATTCATATATATATATATAGATTTTTGTGGTAAAAACATTGACTCCAATACACATGCAGTATTCAAAATTTTCAGACATGACAACATATATTATTTTTCATCATGATAAAATACAACTTGAACTTCATAAACGTTCATAAATCTGCAACCTCATATACCCTACATGACCATTATTGCTAATGTTCGTATGGTCAAAATATAGACGATGTTGCACAAATTGCATTTTATACTACAAAAAATACTATAGCTTCCAAAGTACAAAAATACGTATAGTACAAGTTGGAAAATAATATTTTAATCATTTATTTTATTATTATTAACAAAAAAAAGCATGAAAATTGGTTTCTAGTACACATTTGATATAAAATATCAAGGTAATTAACTAGTAATATTTTAAAAAAAAAAATTCAAATCAAACTCCCAATTTTGCCAAAATTAAAATGTCATATACATGTGTCCCTTAAATACAATCCCAACACTTCAAGCAACCACATATAATAAACACACACACATGGCTTTGCCAATGGCGGCCATAGCAAAGCTCGGCATCATCGCCGCCGCCCACGGCGGCCTGACTCCGGCGGCCGCCGCCTTGCTGTGGCCGTTCTTGTTCAAATTCTCCTTCAGTTTCCGGCCGCTTCGCGGGGGATGCACTGACTTGTTTCATGCAATGGGGCTCTTCTTTTTTCAGGTGGGCCACATCGTGTTGGGCCGGGAGCCGAGCGTGGGGCCCACTGGCGGCCTGCGGTGGCGGAGGGCTGTCCGGTTTGTCTACGAGAGGGTAATCCATGGGCGGCCCACGGCGGCCGGCGAGGAGAGTTTGGTTGCGGTCTCAATGCTTGCACTCTAGTTCATGTTGCTTTTTTATTTGTCCTTTTATCTATTATCATTATTCAAGAGTGATTCATCATTCATTAATCTTGAATGGCCTGTATGAAAGAGTGTTTATAAGTCCTTTTTTTTTTTTTTTACATGTATAAAGAAGTAGCTATGGATTCAATATTTATTATTTTAGTGTCACCTCACAGTCAGATTTATTTACCAAATGGTCTAAATTATGTGTTGGAAAGATTAGTATTATCGGTTTTGGTAAATTGCAAAGAGTAATAAAAGATTGATATGTGTATTTTTTATAATCCAATATATAAATTGTTCTCATAACATATGTGCTCCAGCAGTATACCCATATGTTGATTCATTTGCTTTTTGTCAAAATAAAAATTTGGTTTATAATTTGGCGAAATCTAATTTTTCAGCATCTTATTTTAAACTGGATCCAATAATTTATAATTTAATTGATTTTAATTCATTTTTATCCGCACCTTAGATAAAAAAAAATGCCGTATGATGTGGCGGTTTTTAAATCTGACTTGGAGTTCATGTGAATTTAATAATTCTATTTTTGCTAAAGGGACTTCAACCAATGATAACTTGCTATGTCAGCAACAAGAATCGAGTTCAATCTTCATGCGAAAAACCAGAAACTAATGTATCTTCTTCCCGAAATTTCATCGGTGATAGTGTTGAATAAGTGTCGCTCGTTCGTCTACAATTTTGGTTGTGACATATGCTTTAGTCCGGTGTTCTCCACCAGGCGCAATCAACAAAAATCAGACAGCCAACTTATGGAAATCGCGACCACAATCCACGTCCAGAAAACTTCAGTCCGGGTGTCACAGCAGTTCGCGTTCAGCGCCCATCCAACCACATGATGTCGTCGTTGGTCGTCTTTACCAATCCACGAAACTGCCTGGCCATCGTCTGTGAGTTATTCCTCCTGCCGAAAGTTACCCAGCTTCGAGCGCACAGCCTGAGTCGGAACTTCACATTCGTTCGCCCATAGCCCGCTTGGCTCAGACCAGCCGTCGGCATCCAACCGCAACCCGCGCATCCAACCGCCACGAAGACAGTCATCGCTGGAGATGGAGTTGCGGAGGATGATGGAGGGCTCGAGCAAGAGGGGTGTGTCCTTGTCGTGCGCGATTAGGTTGTGCTCGAACTCGAGCAGGGGACCACAACGGGCAGAGGCTACGTCGTGGGTGGGGAGGGCGAAGGGCATGAGGCGTTCGAAAGGGGCTGCAGCCCAGAAGAAGACGCGAAGGCGCCGAAAAAAGTCGTTGGTTCTGAAGATGGTTGAAATCGCCGAGTGTGCGGCACCGCGAGGAGTCGGTAAGCGTCATCGGATTTTGGTGGGCTTGCCGTGAATCGCCGAAAAATTTGAAAATAAAGACCGGATTTTGACTGAAATTTTCTAAATCTAAAATATGTTAGCAGAGTAATTGACAGCCTTACAGATGGAATTTTTGCCGGAAAATTTAGGAGGTGAACGAGGACGAGAAGGACTTCAAGATGGTGTAAAAATATTTTTGACCAGAGGTGGTTGACCGACGACCAACGAATGGCGACAGCGAACGACATAGGCTCGTTTTTAAAATTTTTGGGATTGCAAGGGCTCATCTTTGAAAATTTAGTAAGTTATATGGGCCATGCAATTTGAAAATTTAATTGCAACCAAGGCATGGGGTTGATGTGGATCATTTGATTTTGAAGTCAACGTTTTCTAATCTCGCCACATAAACTACAATCACGCCATGTTAGATTTAAAAATGTCACATCACTTTTTTTATCCGAAGATGTGGATAAAAAATGACAAAAATTGATTAAATTATTAGACTCAATTTAAAAGTGATCAATAATTGAGTAGAAAATTGGACTTCGGCCAAAATGTAGGACTAGTTTTGAATTTTTATCTACTTTTTCATTAGTATTATCTAGTAGAAAGGTCGTTTTGGGCTTACAAATCTAATTCTATAATTGGGCTTTTGTTTATGGCTGTAAGTAATGAAATAAGCTACTAGCGACTGTTGACCCGTTGGATTCATTTTATATTTATATAAAGCCTGTTATAAACTAAATAATGAAAGAGGAACATTATTAGTACTAGTATATATAGCAACTAGGGTTTATATTCGCCTGAGCTGAGCCTGTAAGTTTCGCCATTTCACAGCAGCGCCGCAAACCCTAGACGAGCAGAGCTCTCGCCGCCGCCGAAATTCCACCATGGTTCGTCTCTCTCTATCTCTCTCTCTCTCTCTAAGTTTCAGCATAACGAAAAGCCCCATTAATCTCTTCTGTGTGTAACCGTTGAATCTGCAGCCGTCGCACAAGACATTCATGATAAAGAAGAAGCTCGCGAAGAAGCAGAGGCAGAACAGGCCCATCCCTTACTGGATCCGCCTGCGCACCGACAATACCATCCGCTACAACGCCAAGCGCCGCCACTGGCGCCGCACCAAGCTCGGATTCTGATCATGCTTGGTCTCATTTATCCCCCTTTTTCCATTATGCAATGTTTTTGTTTACCTGAGTTCCTAATTTTCTCTTTGTGAAATTGGGTAGCCCAATTTTATGATTATTATGGTGCGAGACTTTAATTTTAGGTTTTTAGTAATGTTGAATTGTGCTCAAAGATTGAAATGGAAGTAATTTTTATTCGCTAAAATCGTGGGTTGTTTTGTCTTCTGTCGATGTTTATCTGGGTGTTTTATGGATTTGGTTTTGCTGTGCGTTCATGAAATGTGCCTTGATATTATTATTATTTTATTTTTGTAGGCGTGGGATTTGGATTTGATGATTTGGGGTTCTCCAAATATCTGGATGTGTTTTTTTTAGTTGCATTTGAATGCGGTGTTCATGTGACCATATAGTGGATCTCATTTCGCAATTGGGGTTGAAATAGATGTTACTTTTTCTTTGTCATTGCAGGTTGTATTGTATGGTTCTGTTGGAGTCTTTTTCACTCCTTCTGCCTGTTATTCGGTATAAGAGTGTACGTGAAAGGTCCACGATAGAATAATGAAATGCTCTTTGTTCCAAGTATTCTTCCGAATTATGTGCAATTCATCCTGATTTTTTATGTGGTTATTTTGTTAAGAAAAGATACGGGGCTGGGTTGAGTTTTCCTCCATGAGGTTTTGTTCCTGTCAATAATGGGCAGGGACAAAATTGGAAAAATATTATCAAGAAACAACTCTGTAGTCATTCATCATGGTACTTGGAATTTGTTGTCATATTTTGTTTGACAGCCCATAATCTCATTTTGTTTTGGTCACAACTATTCACCCTTAGAAAGATTTGCTCTGTTTAAGAGGTTGTTTACTCTATTAGTTGGATCCTTACAACCACTTTAAAAGTTTTCCTCTTTGTTCAAAGTTTTCTTCGGAATTCTGGGCAATTCATCCTCATTTCTTTTTTGTATTCTTTGTTGTTGCTATGTTTGACTTTTGAACCAGCCCAAATCGGTGTTTCACGAATCAACATAGATGTTGCTATCTCAGCTTCAAAACCTGACATTGTTGGTGTTGCTGTGCTGTAACTTAATATCAATTCTACCACTTAAGCTGAGCCATATCTTGCAATTCTGTATCCTTGCTGTTGCTATTATATTTGCAATGTCTACTATACAGACATCCTTACCTATTTACACACATACACAAGTTGTCAATTAATTTCTTGGTTTAAGCACTGATTTTACCCCAGTAAACTTCACTAGCCTTTGTGTAGGTATTTAACCAGATTTAAGCTATAGATTTGGTGGTTTTTTTTTTTTTTTTTTTTTTTNTCTAAGTGGCTTCTCATTGTGTGATTTCTCAAGTCAATGCACTTGGTGTCTGGTCCATTCATAAGTCACGAGCTTCTGCACTAGAAATTTTTGATGAACTTCTAGTTAGTGTGTAGAGGCCAACCATTGGAAAACTTAATAAAGTTGTAACTAGGTTCGGACTAGGAGGGCTGGAAGACTTTCACGTATCATATTTCAGCCGTTTTATGAATTATTCTGATCCATAACATTTTTTTAATTCTTGGGTTATTTATCTTTGTTGAAGATCAAAAGTTTCCTGACTGGCTATGGGTTGAATTATTTATCTTGTTTTCAGTTTGTATTTTCCTCAGTAGTGCTTATTCATAAGGTTTTCTGTTTAGTCCATTGTTTTTAAGTTTCAACTTATGGGTAGGTAATGCCTAGGTTTAAGATTTTTAAAGTTCTTGTTTAACACTCCCTATGGATATAAATCTGCATATCCTCAAGCAAATTAAAGTCGATATAAACCATGCAATGCAACTGCCTATTTTCAGAAAAATGGCGATTCCAACATCAATTGGCCATGGCAGTTGTGGGTTGCACGTGCTCGTGATGACCAACATTTTAAGCATAGAGTGCATCGTTGAAGCAATTGGTACATATAGTTCACACTTACATGGTATACTATAGCATTTTAAGCATAGAGTGCATCGTTGAAGCAATTGGTACATATAGTTCACACTTACATGGTATACTATAGCATGTACACTGACCCTTTAACCATTGTTCTGAAAACTGGACCGGACTAGCCGGTTTGACTGGTTCACCGGGAACCGGCCTTCATACCAGTTCAGTTCAGTGCATTGAACCGTCGAGACCCATAACCCGATAAAAACCGCTTGAACTGGCCTAAAACCGGATGAACAGGAGAACCGGTACCGGTTTCATAGGGTCACGGTTTACCAAAAAAAAAGAAAAAAAAGACCCAAGTTTTGATCTTTTTCCTCTGAATTCAAATCTAAAAATTGAAAACCGAGATCTGAAAGAATGTGAAAGTACAAAATAAAATACAAGATCCTTAAGATTTTCAAATTCTTCTCGAATAAATCCATCCTACTCGTGTTCTTCATCTTCTGCCGTCCAATAGTCTTCTCAGTCTGTGACCACTGACCAGTGCTCTGCAATAATGCTTTTCCTTTAAATATGTGATTTGGTTTTTAAAATTAAGAAGGAGAAATTGCTCGGTTTTTCACTTGCGTGTTCGCCTGTAGAAGACGAAGCATCTTTCTGAGATTGAATGGTTAGAGTATTGACTTTGTTGGGCGTCTTAGTGGATGAGGTATCATGTTTAGGGTTAATATGGTCTATGGGCTTGGGCCTGATGCTTATATATTGTTTATTAGAATTAGATAGTATGTGGACTTTAATAACTGTATTCTTTACTCCAATGAGCTTTGGTTTTATGTTAATCTTTAATTATTAGTTAAGCCTTTATGGAAAGATAGCAATTATTCTATGTAATAGCCTTGTAGTTCATTAAATACTAGTGCAAAACCCGTGCGTTGCACGGAATGTAAAATTTTGAAAAATAATAAAATATGGCATGAATTAGGATCGAAATAATTATAATACGTAGTAACATTATTACAAAAAGAATGATTGTTTTGTCACGAAACAATCATATATTATTAAAAACCTCCTTGTACACAATATTATGAGTTTGGTTATTGGGTAACTCCTCATTGTCACAAATTAATATTTTCAACCCTCTTCTAGTAGTCACACGTGAAACAGCAACATATAATTGACCGTGACTAAAAACCGGTTTCTTCAGGAATAGACCAACGTGCGATAAAGACTGTCCTTGACTCTTGTTTATGGTCATCGCATACGAAATCACAAGTGGAAACTGTCGCCGCTGGAACTTAAATGGAATCCTAGTATCAGATGGAGTGATATTCATTCTAGGAATCAACACATTCTCTCCGGCGTGATCTCCCGTCAATATCTTGCATTCGAGAACATGAGTAGAGAGTTTAGTCACAACCAATCGCGTCCCATTGCACAGTCCCATAGAATGGTCCATATTGCGCAACAACATTACTGGAGTTCCTACCTTCAGATGCAACTTATGATTAGGAGTTCCAGAGCACTTTATGCTATTCAGGAATTCTGGCGTGTGGAGATCTGCCAAGAAATCATTGCCAGAATCCGACTTAGAAGTACTGTCAGAGCTCAAGTACGTACGACCTTCAGAAGAATTCATATCTGACATGTATTGATTGATTGACTCAACAACTTCCAATGTGGGAGCTAATATAGCCCTATCCTTCAAATAACTCGGATCGTTAGTTGCATTCTTGAACATTGGATAAGTACTTTCTACAATCGCAGCAATTGGATCATCAGATGGATCCAGTCTTATATCATCTGGAATTTCGATCGCGGCACAACCATCATTTGATCCTCCTATAGTACCATCTCCAATACTCGCAATCCAATCCGCAAATGCAGCCACCTCGTCACGCTCATCTGAATCGGAAATGCTCTGAAGACGCATGTTTTTCGTAAGCCGGAGCACAGTACAGTCATTCCAAATGCTGGATGCATTAATAGATGCATTGACAATGTCCTGCCGACTCCCCTTTGGAATGACTGGAAGGATCTGTCGAAAATCTCCACCAAAGACAATCGGCTTGCCTCCGAAGGGCTTGCTTTTATTCGAAGGGTCTAATACTCCCATTATACCCTGCAGTGATGTTTGAACTGCCTCAAAGCAATTTTTGTGCATCATCGGCGCCTCGTCCCATATGATTAGAGAGCATTTCATTATCAGCTCCGCAAGAGGACTTGCCTGATTAATATCACAAGAAGAATTTTCATGAAGACTAATGGGTATTCGAAATCTAGAATGTGCAGTTCTTCCACCAGGTAACAAAAGCGATGCAATTCCACTCGATGCCACATTTAAAACGATTTTTCCCTTCGACCGCAATGCCGCAGACAAAGTTCTCCACAAGTATGTCTTTCCAGTACCTCCATAACCGTATACAAAAAATACTCCACCAGCACCTGAATCAACAGCGGACATAATTCTTGAATAAACTCCTTTCTGTTCATCGGTCATTCTTCCAAGAAGTGCTTCGTGTTCCACAGAAAGCGCGCTACGATCATAATTAAGCTCATCCAATAGAAGGCGGTTTGAAGTGTTATGAATACTACCACTGTCCGGATAAGGCATGGATGAATATTCACGAAGACTTGAGCCGCGAATTCGCATAAGAGTCTCAATTTCAGCAAGGGTGAGATTCTTTATAGCATCTTCACTGAGCCGCAAATCTGGAAGTCGAAAAATTCAATATTTTAGAGAAGCAATGGTTACACAATGTAATAATTGATAGTTTGTATTTTTTATGTAAAAAAAATAATCTATATATATTCAATATATTCAATGATATAAAAAGCACAATTACCATCGTTATTGAACAATCGTCGCTGTCTGTATAGAATGTCGTCAGATAATAACATCCAACATTGTTGCCATACGTCCTCAGGTCTACTCAAAGAGCCAGAAATCAACAATGACGCAAACATACGTCTAAGAGACTCTGCAGATGCCCAATGACTTGCTTCGGTTATACCGTCTATATACTCTTTGTCATCATCTAACAATCCATGTTCGTAGCAGGCATCTCGATAATTTTGATACTGGACTTCGCCTACTTTCATGTAGTCCTCGTGGCATGTAGCACCGCGAACAACATTTAGCAAACACCTCAAATAGTAATTATCACCACAGCCAGGATTCACGTGGTGTAGACGGGCAATTGTTCCATCTCTTATTCGAGGAGTCCACTCTCTAGTTTTTGCATTCCACCTAAATTTCGACGTTGACTCCATATAAGTTAGCTCCCTGGCCGCTGGGTACTTCTTATTCGCCTCAAACCAAGCTAGAAATTGGCTTTCATTCACTGTTGGTTTATTCAAAACATCCTCCAAATCATCATCATCTTCAAAAATTATGTTCTGCTGATCTTTAAGATGAAAGCTTAAACGTTGTACTGCTGGCCTCTTATACTGTAGCTCAAAACCCAACAATCTCCAAGCAGCCTCACAAGAAGACACATAACGACAATCATAGTACATGTTGATCTCATCCAGCGGCTTTTCAACATCTCCATCAGCAGAAGTTTGATAGAATGATGCAGTCACACGATCATTTCCTTTGTTAACATACTTGAATAAGTACTTTATGGATCGTGATTGATTGCACCACTCAACGTTAACATGTGCGCCATATTTCATGAGCAAACGACGATTATGGGGCACAACATAACCATTATTGAGGAAGACACCATTCTTCTCAATATATTTACCATCTTCTCGACGCCTGTACCGTGGATACCCATCCTCATCCACACTGGTGGCATCGACAAATTTTTTTGGAAATCGTTTGCTGCATTTGCCGTTTACCATGCACGGTGAGTTTTTTCTTGCAGCACCACACGGTCCGTGCATCATATGTTC